TAAACACTCATAAATCAGAGAACCTCAGTTTTAGAACAACTGCGATACTGAAACTTTGCACTATAACTAATTCTGGAATTCGTTTTGCATGGGAAGTAAGGTTACATGACCTAATTTATTGGATCACGTGAGTCGTTCTTACCTTTTTTAGGGAGTGCAAAACATATGACCAATAGCAACGCTAACAACAAACCACCAACCACGAGAAAAGGCAGCTTGAACCCTCCAAACTACAAAGATGATATATACAATGGTCATGGAAAGACAAAGGGACGGCAGGAGTGAAGTTGTATTTTCGTGTAACTATTCTCAGACCTTCTCATTGTCCTTCTCGGCAGCCTACTTACGCTATATAACGTGCCTCCTAGAAATGGACCGATAGTAAATCCAAGCTCTGTCGCCGTAGATAACACTCCCTAGTAACATAATCACTTGGTTAATATCTGTGACGGAAGTACATTCAAGTCGCTTTTTATCACTATTTTAGCTTATCCTTGCTGCTGGGTTTCCTGTGTTACACGCAGATTTGAAATTAGCACGCAGGCTGATTAGCACGTGCAAATCCGCGCGCGAATGTTACGTTACGTGCTCCGTTATTACATCGTTCTATGACGAAAGCGGCAAATGAATGCCTGAAATTATTTTTCCCCGCAGCGAATGGTTTTGATTTCATAATCAYGAATTACATGTCAAATCTTAACGAGGTTCAGCGGGAAGAAATTATTACTAAGTGCAAAGAATCGCTAAGAAGTAGAGTTAATGAACTTGAATCTGCTTTTGAAGCGAAGGACAAACAGTTTGTTGAGATGGCGGATAAGTACATGAATGAACAAAACCTCCGAATTAGCGCGGAGGCATCCACTCGTGAAGCTAACGACAAACTGGACGATATGCAAAAAACACTCAGTACTTATCAAGATAAAGTCTTGGAACTTGAAGCTCAACTCTCTCGACATTATGAAAACCTTACTTTTTATCCTGAAGAAGGGACAAGTGACGAGGACATTGCAAAACAAAGCACTAATCCTGAGACACGTGATGAACTTAAAATGAAATACATCAAAGAATGCAAGAAAACACTGCTACTTCAAGACCGCATCATCGAACTAGAGCAAACTTTAAGTATGAGAATCGAGGATCATGAAGCGTACGCCGAGGACGCTGTCAAGCAACAAGAATGGCTGGCATCACTACTAGAAAAAGAAAGAGAAATTAACGAAAACCTGAGCAATGAAAGCGATCTCAGATCAGCAGAACTTCAAAAACATCTAGAAGATCTCAACGAACAGAACTCATCACTCAATAAATGGAAAACAGAAAATGCAAACAATGGTCAATTACTGCAAGAACTTACAGAAACCTATCGACTCACTGTCAATAAACTAGAAATAGAAAAACTTCAAATACACAAAGAGCTACAAAAGACCCGTGTCGACCTCAATCTACTCCAAAATGGCCCGAAATATCTGGACGTTCCTGGCCACGATGGTGATGACGGAGATGAATCTGGGGAAGTTCACGAAACAAAAGCCGAGATACCAGAGCAGAGTGCAGAAGCCAGTAGCAGCTCTGATGAATCTTTACAACCAAAACAACCCACTCGACATGCAAACCCAGGGTATCGCGCGAGGTTGAGTAGAATGATTCAAGAAGGACTACAGAAGCTTAGATATTCTAAATAAAACCCTTCTCTTGATATGACGTCGTAGAATACATGATCCCGCTCCCCAGTTTCAGTATGTTATTGTGCAATCGCGAATGTTTTTTGCTCCCCTTGTAAGCAATGTGGATCAGAAAGAAAGCAGTTTTATGCTCAACAGGCAAAGAATGATGGCATTGTATCAAAGATTTCGCTATCAACTATTTCACTGATTTACCATTGYGGAAAGTCGGTGAAGAAAAAGCACATAATTTGCTTTTTTTTTTCTGTGAAACGACCACGCATACGCAAAMAATACAATCGTTCTTTTATCCTTTGCCAAACCTCGTCCCCAGGGTCTCTCAGCTCGATATCTTTTAAAATGGTATTTGAACAAGCGTTCGCCATTTTCAAGAGAGACGATGTTACCATGGCGCGCTCACTAGTCTAGGGCCTGGGTCTAGGGGATATGATGAAGTTCGCGCTCACTAGTCTAGGGCCTGGGTCTAGGGGATGAAGTTCTCACCGATAATCAGTTCGACTTTGGCGAAATGTTTAGTAATATTAAAAGAAAGCATGAACGCTGCACAGCTATTTTAATCCAAAAAAAAAATCGTTTAACATGGCTTACCATACAAAAACCAATATTGTTGGTACCAAAGTCTGTTAAGACGATAGCTCGTATCGTTGTTTCACAAGCAGCGCCACCGATCGCTGCCAGGATTCTTAATGTCATACACACCGCGACAAACAGATGGCTTGAAGTCACGAGGTTAACGAACCTGAAAGGTTAAAATCCTGATTGGAATCATGATCGTAAGAAACTCTGTGGTTAATTAATGTAACGAGGTTGTTTTCATGATTTATCTCCCAGTATCTGATGCAGCACAAWCAGAATGCAGAGCAATTGTCTTCCATTCCATTCTGTTCCATTCCATCGCTTATTCATGGTGCTACCAAAATACATCACATTTTTTTTCTTTTTTTTGTTCACTACACATTTAAAGTGCCACTTGGGGCGAAGGGGAGAAGTGATGATCATTTAGGCGGAGTAATTCGGGCAAGAGTGCATTTTCTCATTTCCAGAAGATCTCAACATAGCTATCCCCACTCCCTTTCTTAGCAAACAAAGTCCTTGACATTTATTTTATACAGACTTTATTTGACAAATCAATAAGGTAAGAATACATTTTCAGAAAGTCCAACAGTTTATATTTCCAAACGCAAAACAAAGCCCCCCCCCTCTCCCCCTCATGAAACCCCTTCGCACGCCCTTTGTTTGAATTCATTACTCACTGATGTCGATACTCACGCAAATAAGATGACTGTTATTCCATTAGTGAAGATACCATAAAGTAACAATCTTTCTGCACCGAGTTTTGGTATCTGAAAACAAGGTTTGAGTACAATTCAATGTCTTGACTCATATACCATTAAAATCACCACCAACACTGAGATTTACTTGACTGTATTTGTTTCGTRTTATTTATCGCATAGCAACAACTTGTATACCATGTGTATCGCGGTCTTACCAGAACTCCATAGATTAACGAGGCAGGGAAAGCTATCAGCGGGTATGTACCAAATATAAAACCAATCTCAGCTCTTGTTGCTCCAAGTTTGGTTGCCTGTTGACATTATTGGAATTATTTGTGTTCATTAATTGCGTCAAAGTATAAGTGTACATCCTTTATTTCTATATACACGGGGCTGTAGCCTGGTGGTTGCACCTGCTCACGAGTTTATGACAAAATTTATGTTAACTGCAATTAAGTTTCAATAGGAAGTATGCTATAAATTAATACTCTCGCGAAAACAATTAATAAAGACAAACTTGATTAGCACTTTCTATTTCAAGTGAAATTAATGGTCKTCTTGAACAAAATTGACAAGGATTGCCAAATACTAAGTTGAGATGCATCCAACATCTGGGGACCYCGTTTTGCTTTAAGTAACGAACTGCTGGTTCCACTTTCCTTTTTGAGAATCTCAATATGAATCACCCTGATAACCGTGAACTCCCTTTTTAACTCCCACGGAAAGAGAAATTATTCCGAAACAAAGTTTGGCCCTCCCTAGTCACTCCAAAACTCAGTTTTGTGAATGCTCAAATCCTATGCTAAAGACAACAGCAATAAAGATGAAATCGTTCTGTTTAATTCACAGATTGACCCCAAAGAAGATGTAAAAGACATCAAATTCATGTTCAATATTATTAAAATTACAGTCAAATGTCACCTATATAATGTACTATCGACTGACAAATCCAACATTAACAAGGTTTTTTTATGGTTCTTTTAATTTATAATTTACTGAAATTGTAAAAATCATAACTACCAAACGCTACGCAATAAGGCGATGAAGAAGATTATCATTCGCATCTTTTGATAACACTATGYCATAGTTTGATTCTAGGTCAGTCCTTATGTCATGAAAAATCTTCAAGATGAGTTGAGTTATCTAATCTATGATTAACAAAAAACCAGGATAGTTATCGTTACAAAATTGTTCAACGCTCCTTCTACATTGATGAGATATCCTATTGGCATCCAGGTGCAGCGCTGTTAGATTACTTGGCAGGCGATTAACAATGTGATTCAACCCAACATCAGATATGTSATTACCAGACAGATATAGCACGGTCACCTTAGTATTGGGCAAATATCTACTCAAGCATTCGGTGCAGTCATCGTCCAGATCACAATCAATCAGACACAGTTCACTGATTGTGCAGTTTGGTTTAATTAGAGATTGCAGCAAACTCTTTAACCCGACACTGGTTATCGGCGAATACTGGATGAGCAATCTGTGTGGCGATGACATTGAGGTAGCAGAGGATTCTACTAACATAGCGATGGCACCACAGTCCGAGTCTGTCACGTGGTATAATCCAATCCCCCAAAGAATATCCCAGTATCTGTAGTCACGGTTTGCAGTCAGTTCTTGTCTTGTCAAGCTTTTGTCATGACCATACTCGAACAGACACCTCAATGAAACTAGTCTTAGTCTGAAGTCATTTCTCTTTGTATTCTGCATATGTTTACCTAGACACTCAAGTAGTTCTAGCATTAATTCCTCATTATGATCTAAACCTAACAAACCGCTCATGAAGATGTACACCATTTCAGTGCTTTCTTGTGCCGCCATTACACCTGTCTTCACCAAATACAGAGCAACAAAAAACTCTTGAATKGTGAAGTGCGTGAAGCTATATTCACACGTTGGTTTTTGAAAAGGAGAATTACTGGAAACAGTATAACAAAATATAAGATTACTAGAAAGTAACAATTCCTTTTCTGTTGAGTTTAGGTGTCCTAGCTCTTCTGAAGTAAAACTAAATCTATTCTGTTGAACTAAATGCGCCGCTAGTTGAGCAAAATTATCGAGAGTTTGGTCAACAGCCAACGAAGCGGTTTTCTCATCTAAACTAAGTATTGCTTTATTATAATTTCTTTCGATGCATTTAATAGCATTGTGGTAAAACTCAGTAAGTTTTGCAGGAACTGAGTTATCACGTTTGTTTTTGACTTCCCACTCGATTAAGATGCACATCAAAAAACAACGAAATGGCGCGCGACCAAATGATATGTGGTGYGGTGATCCTTTGACTTTGTTCACTGCCATCTTTCTTACTTTTTCTGGTTTACATTTGAAATACTTCTCAACGTATTCGATGACCTGCGATTCTGAAAATCCTGTGATCTCAACGTAGCGGTCGAAATGCATTTTTTGGTCCAAAGCGCTGGATTCGCTCGGTCTTGAGGTTATCATGGAGACAGAATCGCGCAAGATCTTTTTTCGGATTAGTTTGCTAACCAGGGCAGCTACCGGCATCTTGGCTTTCACATCATTGGGAAATTCCTCTTCAAAGTCTCCGATTATTTTGTCGCGGTCTTTGTATTCATCAAAGCCATCGAAGACAGTAAACAGTTGTTCTGGGTGCTGGATAATATACTCCATTATTTCTTCGTTTAACATGGTCTTTGTGTCCAGTAAGGGTGAGACATTCAGCATTTCTCTGAGTGTAAGCTGTTTGTTTCCAAGTCGTGCAAGTTCACTAAATGTTATGAGATAAAAGAACTTGATGTCAGGTATCAATAAACTCTGGCTTGACCAATCTCTTACAATTTTCTGCGAAAATAACGTTTTTCCGATACCCGGTTTACCAGAAACCAAAATTGACTTCGGATTGCTTTCTTTGCTTTCGTCAACAAAAATCTCGCGATGCTGCTTTATTTTGSTCAACGTTTTACGAGCTTCTTGTTCCTCTTTTTCTTGGCTTTCTTCATAATCTTGACTTATTCCCTGGTGTAAGAGTTCTTTTTTTCCATGGTGAATAGTCAAACTTGTGAAAATATCGTCAGTTTTTAATGTACTTTGATATATTTGTTTCGKTAGTAAATCTGTTTGCCTTGTTATTGCTTCCTTGAGGTTGATGGAGTACAGTTCCGGATCTGATAAGGAAAAACATTTTTTAGTCCTCGATCGTTAACACTTGCTATGTCATATATCTGTGGCATATTATCAAATAATGCAARAGGTTCATCACTTTTATCTAAGTGYAAATTAGTCATCCAGTCGTGATAATTAAATAAAGTGRTRAGTCAAATACTGGACCAAAGTTGAAACGATTCACGACGTTTCGATCGATTACACCGATCTTCCTCAGGTAGAATGACCAGTTGAATCACCAACCAGGGTTTTATTGYGAGGCAARCGGCGAGGAACGCCTTTCAGAACAACATCCCATGAGTGYGGTAGKTTGAAACGTAGGCCGCCCCTTCTGTTTAAGGTGGGATTTTCAATTCGTTCATAGATGRCTTCTTGTTCATCACTTTTGTTATGTTAATGTCGTGATCTATGTAGGACCAAAATATTTTCCATTGTGGACATTGTGGCACAATGTATGTTGATTATTTGATATGATGCATTTTCATCCTCAAAGATGGAGGAATCGCTTTCCAAACTCGATCATCGCTATGTCTTGTCAATGTTTGAATGAATTATACCAACACCTGACTGACCTTGTTTTATGGCACTGRGCCCTTCTTGTAGACCTGCCTCGTCTTGAAAGAGACTTCTTTGTGCTTCGTGTAAGTCACCCAGTCTGTTGTTTACTGTGAAAACAAACACAAAGATTATTCATATAACTTTACTTTGTCTTCTTATAGGCAATTTTAAAAACACTATGTACCTCATTCTCATAGGGACACTATGTACCTCATTCTCATAGGGACACTATGTACCTCATTCTCATAGGGACACTATGTACCTCATTCTCATAGGGACACTATGTACTTCATTCTCATAGGGANGCCCCTTCTGTTTAAGGTGGGATTTTCAATTCGTTCATAGATGACTTCTTGTTCATCACTTTTGTTATGTTAATGTCGTGATCTATGTAGGACCAAAATATTTTCCATTGTGGACATTGTGGCACAATGTATGTTGATTATTTGATATGATGCATTTTCATCCTCAAAGATGGAGGAATCGCTTTCCAAACTCGATCATCGCTATGTCTTGTCAATGTTTGAATGAATTATACCAACACCTGACTGACCTTGTTTTATGGCACTGRGCCCTTCTTGTAGACCTGCCTCGTCTTGAAAGAGACTTCTTTGTGCTTCGTGTAAGTCACCCAGTCTGTTGTTTACTGTGAAAACAAACACAAAGATTATTCATATAACTTTACTTTGTCTTCTTATAGGCAATTTTAAAAACACTATGTACCTCATTCTCATAGGGACACTATGTACCTCATTCTCATAGGGACACTATGTACCTCATTCTCATAGGGACACTATGTACCTCATTCTCATAGGGACACTATGTACCTCATTCTCATAGGGACACTATGTACCTCATTCTCATAGGGACACTATGTACCTCATTCTCATAGGGACACTATGTACCTCATTCTCATAGGGACACTATGTACCTCATTCTCATAGGGACACTATGTACCTCATTCTCATAGGGACACTATGTACCTCATTCTCATAGGGACACTATGTACCTCATTCTCANTCTATATAATAATAAATTATAAAACATGTATGCTATCACAATAGCAATCACACATTGTCATGACAAACATCACAAATAAATTACCACTTGACACTTGATTTTTGTTTGTTATTATTTCAGTGATCTTACCGTTCTTCTTTATCCATCCTTCAACAATCTTGTGATACATATATTATCCTTATCTGACTATTAGATGTGTTCTGAAATAATAAATGTACTGCTAAATAATCAAAATCTATGCTTATTAAAAATTGCTTGTATATTTGCAAAGTTATCATGTCACTGCTAATAAGATAAAAGGGAATGCACATGTACATTTCTCCTAAATTGTTTTTGATTACATGAAACATGAAGGTAGTGAAATGAGTGACCTTTCACTCTTCAAACTACACCGTGCCCAAAAGTAGATCAGTGTTATGTATCCCAAACCTGAACACTTTGAGATTCACTTTCGCATGTCTAGGCAAACAAGGCCTGAACTGACCTCAAGTGAACACCTCAAAAAGTGAATGGTATGACTCCATGCAAACGGGKCCTAACAATCTCAAATCCAGCATTCTGATTGGCTAATAAACTATGGCATATTCATGATGTTCCATGATTGCATCAAATGAAACAAAAATAATCAAAAATATGTCAAGAAATATTGTTCTTGCCAGTCTTTTTTCAAATTTACCACATAGATGTTGGGATCAAAAGAATTAGACCTCTTTGTATTTGTATTTCTTTTTACTAGAAGAAATGTGCATGTACTTTTAAATTTGCTTTGCATGAGATTCAGTTTCCTGTGGTGAAAAAAWCAACAGAGACACACAGTCGACAGTAAAAGTATTCACAGATGATAAAAAAGACAAAAAATGAATATCAATATTCAAACAAAAAGTTTTCACATAAGATGTAATGCATTGGGMTTCCTATGTACAAACATGGCGCCGTAAAGTTAATGCACCTATCAATGTCTTGGCCCAAGGGGGGGGAAGGGGGGGGGGGAGCCTGGCCATACTCAGGGGCTATTGCCATTTTTGGAAAACAAATCTCAATAAGCCCCTCTGACTTAAATTCTTGATCAAATGACAATAGGTCTCTCACTTGCTACACGATTTTATGTAAAGTACACCAGGACCGCCTTGCTAAAGTCTGGTTTAACTCTTAAAACCTATGGACTTAATCCTGGACTAACGAATGTTTAACAATCTTTCCTGCAGTTGTAAGTGAATGAAATAACATTGTAAAATGTTTAGTCTCTGATCAAATTGTCAATAAGCCCTACCCATAAAAGTCTAACAGCCCCTGTCAGGGGCTAGGTTTGTATGTCAATAGCCGTGTGCGCCCGGGCTCCTACCGTTGGGGCAAGACATTGATAGGTGCATAAAACTGTCTGAATGATGAACGTTATTCTATTGAATGTGAACATATGTCAGATATGAATGCATGTTTGCAAAATACGRTGACAATCTGAGACTGACTTCTTTGATGCTTCTTGTCAAGTCACTCACCATCATGCTTCTACCCTTCTAGCAGAGGATTTTTCCATCCCCTTCTTCGTAGATAGAAGGGTATGGAACAAATCCTCTGTTCACAGGCACTCTAAAAGTTTGATTTGTAAACGTCCCATCCTCAGGTAACTTAGAAAAGTTGTTATTTTAAAAATGAAAGTATTATTATAAGAAAGCCATTGTAGTTGATTTAATCATTTACTAAATTATTTTAATAGTCTGTGTTGAAATTAATGATTTCACTTCATTGTTTTAAAAATCAAACTTTTAGAGTGCTGGGTATTGATCACGTTTCGACTACTAAAGGTATTGTAGGATTTCATATAGTCATTTTATCATGGTATCCGTTGTATTGAAGTCGAATTGCTGTGGACCTCGTGCTCTAAAATTCTTTAAATTATATCGTTAGAATATTAAACTTACTCTTCATTCTACACTTGCWATATATAAAGTGGTTTAAGACCCATGAACTTCTTGAAAAACATGCTTGTTGCGATATTATGAGCAGATGTTTAATACTTACCCAATGATYTTGTCTTGCTTGCACTTTCTCTTCGTTGCGGATGTTCGTCTAGACTAATGACGTCATGTATATTCGGCGAAGGGCATCATGGTATATTAATGCCACTCAATGGAGGGTAGGTCGGTCAGCAATTTGTCCCGGGCGATGTGTGATACCCTCTCCCGCGATATATTTTTTCATGTCAGCGGTTGTGTATATAACAATATGCACTTGTCACACTAGGGGCTTTAACAACATTGTCACACATTCGTTGTATATTTTTGTTGTTGATTAATTGTATCAGTTCGTTATTAGAATTTCGGCGAAAATTAGGAAATATCTTTACACTTTCAGATCCAAAATTGAACAATTTCAACACGGAATAAAGTTTAGTCGAAAGACTAATAACCTTCAAACAAAAACTACTTTGAGACTATTCAGGCTAGAAACGAGGTCTTGGGATCAGGGATCAGCGTCAATTTTTGGGCTATTTTGGGATCAGGGATCAGGATTTAGGCTTAGGATCCGGATCAAATGGATTTAACCTGGGATCAAAGGTCAATGAGCATGTTAAAACTTTCATAAACGTCGCGCCGAAATTCGTTGCACAGTTGCACAGTTGCACAGTTGCACTTAGAGACATTGTGCGAACTTCTGAACCGACTGCCGGCCACGCAACAACGAAATCCTAAATGGCCGGCAGCCCATAATTTCTACCATTGTTGGAAAAGCTGCAAAGTTTTGTATGCAATCAAATCATCAAGTGTAATTTTTACAAATCGTATTCTTAAAATATGCGAGTAGTAAAACCTCGCAATGATTTATTAATATCAACTAAAGAGTTAATAATTGTAGTAAATATATCAAGTCAAAATTATATAATTATTATTATGCTATCAACTGGACTGAGAATTTAAGAAAAGAAAGCGATAGAAATGGGAAACTTCGCACCTTTTATAAAATTAAGAAAAATTTTGGTTTTGAAAATTATTTAGATAAGATTGTTAACACTAAATACCGTCAAGCATGAGTAAGAAAATTTTAAAAGGATTTTATGCAGCACATAGGTTACCTGTTTAATTAGGTCGTTACATAGCCTATTCTGGTCGGACATGTGCATGTAATCCTTGTGATTCATCAGATGTTGGTAATGAATATCATTATTTTCTTAAGTGTACTAATGAAAAATTTGTGATTTTAAAAATGTTGACTTTTTTTTATTATTTACTTCTAATGCATGACGAATCATCTTTTGCCGATATGTACTAAAYATTGCTATGATTTTTTACAACTATACTTTAATGAACTTTAGATGTCCTAGTTTATTATAAGTTAAAAAGTGTRAACATCGAAGTCTATATTATATTTGATAGATTTATTTTTTTTTAGTTAATTATTGCTTGAATAATGTTGTATTTTGACATTTTGTATCCTATTTATCAAATGGTAAAGTTATATTACTATCATGGACTCGTGGACCATCAACTCGTAGACCACTCGATCTCGTGGGACCGTATTATCAATAGCATTAAATCATTTAACTAGTGATAAAACTACAGGCTGCATGGACTAACCTCCAAAGGGAAGAATGTTGCTAATATGCTGAACGAACCAAAGTTGAAGAAGATCACTAGAGACAGTTCAAATAGCAACAAATACATGCCACAATTCCATTGTTCAACGCCATTRCCRCTTGCTYCATCTCCRTTACTATGTTTTGTATCTTGAGAGATGCATTTTTGTGCTTCGCACTTTATCGCTACCTGACTAGTTGACTCTTCACTTGTTTTGYTCAGCATCGTTTGGGCAAAATCATGGAAAGTCTTGGCTACGGCTTAACTCAATAAACTGCCATTGATAAGATCACAWAGATCTCGTTATTCTCTCAAATTCATCAMCATTTTCGAAATGAAAAGACTGATCAAGCTAGAGTATGAATGCCGGGTCGATTAATGATGTGCATAAATTAAATWCTTAATTCGCCGGTCACTRTTTAATTTTCCCGCACGTTGACCCCAAAGACCCCATYACYAGYCCTACGCGGCCCATTAACTGTCAYGCCGGACCGAACTAGTCAATTGAGCTAGTATTCGTTGTCGTTAATATTTCTCTTGTATTTCATGAATATCAGCACCGCTGAACGTCCTATATTTACATAGTATTTAAGCCAGGCATGTAGACTCGATGTCGGTGGCTATGAAGAATCAGGAGGAGCTGACGGGGTCTGTTCCTCTAAACAGCTGTCCTTGTAGTCCTTGTACGATTTTTTTCCTTGGAAAGGGATTTTGAGCTACATTGTTGACAATCTCACAAGCAAATGTGGCGCCCTTACTTCTTTAAAATGAATTTTATTCCTGTCAAACGTTTTTAAGGTCAAAAACGGCTTGTATTTTAACCGGGGTGGGGGAATACTCGACCCCGTTTTGGATAGGTACGTGCCGCCAGCGGTCTAAAACCCTTACCCTGTTTAAGAGACTAGAAAGTAAAAATCCATACCCTGTTCAAGACAAATCGGAAAAATAAAGAATAGCTACCTACGCCGCAACCGCCATCAAAACTACAATTATACTGACGGCCATCAAAGACAATAACACGTTAATCCTGCTACAGTGAAACGGTATTTCTCATGAAAATATTACCCTATCAAAGACACAAAAAAATAATTATATCGGTCTTTTATCTAAATTGTAGAGCCTGTTTAAGACAATTTCGGGTGAAATGTATACCCTGTTTATTTATAAGACAGCAAGGCCAAAACCATACCCTGGCCAGCGGCACGTTCCCGTATAGCAAATATATGGGCGTACACCCCCCCCCCCCGGGATATTTTATTAGTTAGGAATTTCTATTTTCCTGGCAAAAATCCTTAATTGATGGCTGCCCAGGGTCACCATGCCATCTTGTGTTGTTTTAACGTTTTTGTTGTGGACAAGGATTATCATCGCGCGACTGTCATGCGGGATAAGTTTGAACCAATCCGAGAAAACAAMTTTCAAAAACAAATCTTTTTCAAAACAACAATACAAACGATCAGATCGCCTTACATCATGAACCTGCTCGATCATAGCTTTAGAAAGAAATAGATGATGACTTACGACAAGCTTTGCAAGAAGCAATTTAATGATTGTTAAATATAGTCTCACGGCACCAAAACTGTCGTAAATGACTCAACGTGGTGAATTCAGGCGTGTATCGTTCATTCCTCAGCCTACGCGCTAATGGTTATAATATGACTGTTAGAAAATGAGGTCCTTAGAGTAAACATACTTCATTTAAGTGTGTCCAATTCTCTTCATTTTTAACTTCTTTACGTATAATAAATAGAACGCTTTCATWAACCGTTTATACCAAACTATAACCATTTTGAAAAGAATCTGAACATGYGTGTCATACCGGTCAGGGTTGCTTGGCAACRGATAATAACAAACTCAGCAGCAGTCYTCTGGGAACGAACGACAGATTATTAGMCTGTTCAGKGGTCAYATTATATCTRATAATACCACAGGCAGCCCAGCGTGGTGTGAATCGATCATGCCTTTTTTCCCTTCTTTTTCTTTAGTAATAGCATCATTTTTGAACAAAATGTGATTTTTAAAGCTGTCAGGGATTTTTTCTCATGAGAAGGTAATAAAAAAAACAGCTTGAAAGATCAAATGTTATTCAGAAATGATGTTTATAACTATGAAAAGGAGGACGTAATACACTAACGTATTTTAATTGCGGGCTCGCCATTCTACAAAGCAACGCCGCCATTAAAGCCTACTAGACACTAGGCTGGTGTCCCCGTGTTAAAAACACTCCTTATTGAAAATCTTTTGAAAGAATACTAATAAGGATCGCATTTATCAGATGATAGATAGCCCTATCAATGCTTTCCGGAAAAATTTTCTTCCAAGCACTCATTATCAGCCTTAGTTATTTGGCACCGGTGTGCATTCAATGTGTGATGACAAGCGTGCTTTGTACAGTTTAAATTTACGATCATTTGGCGCCGATGTGCGTTCAGTGTGGGATGGCATGCGTTCTTTGTACAGTTTAAATTTAAGGTCATTTCTCTAAGAATTTATAGTGTTTCTGAGTGATATTTTTAACGCCGTTTAGACGAAAACTCGAGAGTATTTTATAAGGAATAAAGATTTTGGACTGTAGTTCGAGTCTACTAATAAAACACTCTGAGTCGTTTTCTATAAAAACTCATCGAGCGCTGCGACTGTTTATCTTAAAGTGTGAGCATTTTGACGACATACATGCTGGAAACAATAAGAATGTCAAGTAAAATCTAAAAAGAATTTGTGTAAAGATAACTGTCTCTCTTTTAAAGATAAAGTAAGATATTTATGCTTGTATTATTATGAGTCGAATAAAAAGTATTGCATGTGTTGTATATATTTAAAGTAGTATGTATTTGTCCAACATCGTTGTCTTGACCTTTCTCATTAGTGGTATTTCTATGAAGTTTGATGCTATAAAGTTAGAAAAGTAAACTATGATTGAAAAAACATTCACTTTTTCTTCATCATATTGAGGGTTTGCAGTAATTTCGTTTCACGGTCACCGGTATTGTTCTCTTTATTCAACTTTTTTGCCGCAGATTTTTTGTGATCAGCGGTATCGTCTTGTTCCCAGTCCGGAATGCTGTGGTCTGAAGACGCACTTCCGGGCCGTGCTAGCCAATCAGGAAGCGGATCTTCATCCTGTGATTTACTTGGCTTAGAAGAACGTTTTTGCTGTTTCCGTTTGACAGGCGAAGTAATGGAGGGCGTGTCWCCTGCATCCAAGCTGTCATTCAAGCTTCCACTGGCACGACTATGCAGATGACCTTGACTTTTGAGGAGATCGATGATAGTAGCAACCTGCTGCTCAAGCTGWGTCATYTTCATATTCATAACCTCGATCTCMCGTCGGACCTCGCCTTTCATTTCGGAAAGACTCGAAATGACGTCCACTGAGTCTTGATAAAGTTCGGGTTTTGCTCGGAGATCTTTTTTCTTGTCTGGTAAAACCATTCGTTCGATCGATGTTTGATCGGGTTGTACGCTCGGCCCTGTGTCGAGATATGTGTCTTGGATGTCGTACGTTTGGACAAGTTCCTCCACAAGGCTTAGCTTACGACGCTTACTTCGGCCAAACCCGACGCTGATCGGTCTTCTGTCGTCATCCTCTTCATTTTGTAAATTAATAGTGGGTGTTCTTAAGCGGATTTTAAGCTGAATATCAAAAATATACGTAAGAAGATTGGAGTGTCTGTCTGTCTGTMTGTMTGTCTGACTTACCTCATCGCGCAAATTGTACGACAGCATAAGATTCTTTGCAAACTTGATAGCAAATTCAGGATAGAACTCGAGAACCTCAATTAATGCATCTCGTCCAATACAGTGCAAGTCACTATAGGTAAGAGCATATACATCGACCGCTGACTGACCCACCATGGGCTCATTACAAATATTATCTCCAAACACATCGCCCTCACCTTTGAAGATCAAATATGGACATTAGAACACATYAACCAAACAATCAACAAGAAACTRAAACCAATCATCCAGGCATCCAACCATCAGWAGCCTATCAAAAGAGGCCGCTACGATCTCAATCACAAGACATTATTTYACTTCATCGGAAAAGAACAGTTATATTGTTTGTTATTATATTGATTGTATGGTCGATCATATGTTGCTGTGACTATCTTACCTAAAAGGCCTACAACAGCRTCACCTTGTTTAACCTCTAATGAGCCGCGAGCAATAAAGTACAGCACGTCTAGGCTTTCTCCATGATGAATGATGCGGTCATTGGGAGCCACGTGACATACCCAGAAGTTCCTTGCGATCGCACGTTTGATACCCATAGGMGCATCTTTGAAGGCAACATTGTTGTCTAACACGGTCCTGTTCATATGGACRCAAATGTCTGCCTGAAGATCTTTGGGGCAAATGTTTAATACCTGAAAATGGACAAMAAATAACAMCWTAAAATATTAAATGATTKATATGAYGATTTTGTTTTAGGGTACCTCGTCAGTGTCRATCCCTTTATTCTGTGCCCATGTAGACATGAAATAATCTATAATTCTGTCTGCCAGCGCTGGTGGCAGTTTGTAGATTTTGCTGAACTGTCTCATGTTGTCGATTATCGAGTGGTATTTTGCAGTGTTCTTCTGGGACTGTTGGAGTATTGCTGACACTTGACCGAAGATCAGCGAAAATAGAATGGCTACAAGAACAACAGTTCATTCYATTAGTTTGAATGCGATGAATGATGCCATGAATGGTTGACAGTGATACTTACACCCGAGTAACATTGTCGCACAACCAAATAGTTTCTCTGCTGTTGTGTTGGGTGCAATGTTACCAAAACCGATGGTTGTCAAACTAGTCAGCGTATAGTAGAGAGCTGAAACATATCGGGCTGGTACTGACGGCCCTGTTTCCTCGTAGTCCATTACACCAGTGCTGTTGTTAAGTTTGTAAGGTTCATTGAGAGTTCTGGCAAGAATCATAAGCCAACTRTGGTCAACATATTTATCATATTTAACAGCGATGATGTAGAAAAGACAAGCCATCCAGTGAGCCACCAAACAGAATGACAACATCAACAGGAAGAAGGTAGATGCACCATATTCAAGGTATTTATCGATCTTCCTCGCAACTCGACCGAGACGAAGGAGTCGAAAGACTTTGAGAAATCCAAGCAGATTGGTRATTTCCTTGTTAAAAAAAGAAATGGTTTTAGTTTTCAGGTACACATCACATTTCTACCAGTGCATTTGCATTGATTTTTAGCACCGCAATCCATAATGCTAGCGCGTTTGTTCAATGTGAATAAAGCTAGAACCCCCGCTCCCCTCTTCACTCTTGATAAATGTGTCAGGTGCATGATGGGAGATACTTACCGACTCAGACTCTTTGTCCACAAAATAGAGTATTCCGTAGGGTAGAGACGATATGAGGTCGAGTCCAAACCATGTCTTTAGATAATTCATACGTATCATTTTAGGGTCGTCAACTAACTCGCCATCTTTACCAAAGTATGTYGTGTGAAAGTTCAAAACAATATCAGCGATAAACAACCAATCAACGAGAAGRTCAATGATGGCGAGTGCWAGCGGGTTAAACTGAAAGCATACAATRAAAGGGACCGATACTGTTGTATATAGTGTCAGTATAATTATCAACCAATCCCATGATGTCTTGAAWGTACTGTAATGCAGGATAATACGCGAAGGGGTTTCTGGGATATCTTGCTTGTATTCAGGAATGATGTCGTCGTTCAATGACATGAGCTAAAACAAAGAAACGATCATTGCGATTAGGATCTTCACTTGCARAGTTTCGCCTATARCCTTCTCCTCTCCAAATATTCAATCAAGTAATCTTCATACTSAGTTGGGGTGACCACCAGTTAATGATGATACTGATTTATAATGACGTAATAATGGAAGYCGTGACGTAGCCKACAATACTCACGTGTGTGATTTGCTGTGCATTTTTCTGTGAGGTTGTTTTYTGTTTGAATGCCACAAGAACTGTTTTGTGTCTCGTTAGTGATTTATTCAACCTTGCCCAGCCTTTTGGTCCAGAGTCTAAATCAAAGAATATGAATATAATCAGTTCAATCATGGCTGCTCTGTCCATCAGATTACTGTTTAATATACTAGTTCATTACCTTATTAACCAAAGGCTTATTGCMTTCTGTTGCAATCTCAAACATGCTAAACGTKCTACTATTGCCAGAGACTGTATTTTGATGYTTTCAAGACTGCATATGCATTGTGTGCGATGTWAGAAGAGCGACATGAAAGCAGTTTATCGAGTCACTTGAATGGAGTTTGTTTGGTGATAGAAAAAAAATTGTACTTTCTTTCTAGAGATCTACAAACKAGAACAAATCAACGATGTGGTGGATCCGAAACTGAAAGCTGATAGCGCCGAGCAAAGGGCGAAACTGTGTTAATCAAAGTTTGTCAGTTAAAAATCACTGGAAAAAATCGCGCGCTTTAAAGGTTGTAAATTTGATGTAAATATCATTTACATCAACTTTACAGAATTTTGGACACTTACATCATATTTACATCAAATTTACAACCTTTAAAGCGCGCAATTTTTTCCAGTGAATAGGACACTTTAACTTAGTATAAAATACCTGTTCCAGGAATAGGATCCTTGAATTCAGTGATATCCTTTACTGTGAACAGAAAGAGGACCACTTCTCCTTTTTCGTTCACAATGGGTCCAATATGTAAGAGAATCCACATGGGTACTCCTAAATTAGAAACAGCAATGTGAAACAAACTCTATACTTGATAGAATAAACACCAAGTAACCGGACAGACACACCAAGTTGACTGACAGACACAACAAGTTGACTGACAGACACACCACCAAGTAACCGGACAGACAAAACAAGTTGACTGACAGACACAACAAGTTGACTGACAGATACAACAAGTTGACTGACAGACACAACAAGTTGACTGACAGACACACCAAGTAACCGGACAGACACACCAAGTCGACTGACAGACACACCAAGTTGACTGATAGACACACCAAGTTGACTGACAGACACACCAAGTAACCGGACAGACACACCAAGT